TAAAATGTTGTCTTTTCCTAATAAATCTCAACCTAAGATGAATTAATAAAAACTAATGATTAGCTCATCAAAAGATATAAATCTCAAGCTTAACCCTAAGTTCATGAAAAAGTGGCATTTCATGACCAAATTACCCTTAATACTTGTATTTAAACACTTAGGCAAAATTACACTGAGAATGTGATATCAATGAATATGAAAGCTCTTAACATATAGAAATGGTCCTAAAACTAATGTACACATAAAATTTCTAATTCTCCCTTGAATTCCTAACAAAATGAAAAATGACCAAAATACCCCTAATATGCACACTTTCTCATTAGGACCTGAAACCCTAATTTAATACCTAAAATGCACATTTTAGAGTTTCCTATCATGAAATGTGGTCCTACATACCTAAGAAAAGCATGTAAGAAATACGACCTATTATATTACACACATTCACACATTTGGCCGTTTAATTGCCCATTTCACACATTTGGGCACAAATTTCACTTCTCTCATATACTTTCCACAAAACTAGCCAACTTTACACATAACACACATAATTCACTTCAACACACATATATACTCATCTACTAGCCCATGCAGTCATTTTCATCACATACACACATATACATACAATGAGCTAGGATATCAAAACTATGGTCATGTTAACAACCCAAACATGTTCATGTACAAGTACTATAATTCTTATGGCAACTTATATACACATTCTTAACTATTAACAAACAAACTCATCGCACCAATTCTTACAGACCTTTAGCAAGAAATCACAATTCTCGACTTAAATCTTTCCCTTTAACATAATTACTACTAGAATCTAAAAAATGTAAATGACCATGGGTACGATCAAAATTTCAGCAACCAATATAAATCATTAATGTCCATTATCACAAACAATTGCATGAAAGTAAATAAAATCAAGTAATTGTATATATAAAACATAGCTTTTCATATAGTTGTTCTCTTTTCTAACATTTCACACAATCACATTCACTAGCATGATTATCTATCCACTAAACCTCCAAAATTCCCCGACATGAAACCATAAGCTCTAATGGATCAATCACATATTGACCCGAGCACACCTTCGATGGTAGAAACACTCGGCCAAAGGTAATCTATCTCATTTACGAACTATGGTTTTCCCTATTTCACTCACTTGTGATAGAGGCATTGTTGACTCCTAATTGCACCGTAACGGGTACTAGGGAGTTGCCAAATTGCTTTAATGTCCCATGGTAATAATTTCAATATAATGTTATATTGGATGACCTATGATATCAGCTTGTATAATGTTGTACCAAATGTCCCATAGTGCCAGCCCAATTATATGGATTTATTCACTCACATCTCTATGCACACATCCACATATACCTTGGGTGAACTCTCAACGCCCTATAATCATGCTTCTCACACATAATTTACCACTTTTCTACACTTTATACCACACACACACACACATATCAATCAAATCAAGTATTTATCAAACTTTCATTTTACAAATCAATTTCATGCTAAAACCATTTATAATTCAAAATCATGCATAAAAACTTACAAAACATTGATTTCACAATTATACAATTATTTCTACATAGTTATAATAGCTAATAAACATAACCGACTATATAGTTACCTCAACTCTTCTATTCAAAAGAAAGGTTACCTATGTTTCACAACATTACTCAAGCTCCTTCTCATGATTACAACCCATCATATACAAGAATCTACACAATTTAGGCACCTAGAGTCAATTTCATCATTGACAAAAGGTGCTAATTATAGCAATCAAGCACCTAATCGTTATCATTTCCCCAATTCATGTTGATTCACACCTTCTACATCCAATCGCTACTTAATTCAAGTACTAACATACCCACTATCAAATTTCTTTCAGCTTTCTCTCTCTAAATTAGGTTAATTCGAACCTACAGTTTTAAAACTTTATCGATTCAACTCAAACTAATCACAAAGTCCTAGTTTAATTCTAGAGAACCTTTCTATTACTATATGATGAGAAATCAACTCCTTAAAACTGTTGAATTCAATTTCTCAATAGTTTAAACTAAGAGAAAATAGAGTAGAATTAGTGGTTAAGGCAATATATGACTTATTCGATAAATAATAGGCTAGAAACGTCATACTTACTCTCGAAATTACTTGTTATAGTAGAGCTCCTCTTCTTTTCCACTCTTGAACCCTTTTTCCCTCCTTTTTCTTCCATTTTTCACAAGCTAACATGTTCTTATTCACCAAGTTTCTGCACCATGCGCTGTAGTGCATCCAATTCTAGCCATGGTGCATGGCATAGTAAGGGAATTCCTCACTGTGCTGACACGTTCTGGTTCACAACACCATTCTTTCACCCATATATGTTCATATAACATCCCAAAGAGTCAAAATAACATTCCACCATCTAAAATCCTAATTTCACATTAAATTACTAATTCATATTTAATCATCATTAACGCTAGAATCAATAATTCAGGATGTTACAAGGATCATTCTCTTTTTAACTACTTTGCAAGGTGTTAGCTTTTCAAACATAAACATGAATAAATAGGATAGATAATCCATACATTAAGTAAATTTTTGATAAACTCCCATGGAGTATTGGTAGTCTTAAATTCTTTAACAAATAGCTTCCTTTAGTGGTTATTTAGTTAAATAAAATAGTGTGAAAGACCAAAAAGTTCAAAAAAAATAAAAATAAAAAGCCAAAAGTTCGAAAAAAAATTCAAAATTTTCAGAAATAAGGCTAATTATTGCATGTAAATTGCTAAGAAAATTATAACAACATATGCAATAGAAATTTATCATGATAAACCCTCCCTCATACTTAAATTTCACATTATCCTCAATGTTTGTAGAAAAAATAAAGGAACTGAGACTCCCGTAATTTAATTTGCTTTGATGTGACTTTGAAAACCTTTTAGAAGCTCCCTTTTAAGCATTATCTTGCAATTCATCTTAAAAGGGGTCTTAGTGATGAAATAAAATTTTATAGGGATAACAAATGGTAAAAAAAACAAATTAAAATAATAATGAAAAGGAAATAAAAAATTGGATTGCCTCTCAACAAGCACTACAATTAATGTCTATAGCTAGACATCGCTGCAAAATCAAGAGATGCCTTTTGAGTATGGTATGAATCTTGTCTTCTTGAATTAAAAGACACCTTCTTCTCCCACCTAACATTCATCTTCCCCTTGGAGTTCTTGTTAATGAGTAAGGGACATTTCAATTTAACTCTAATATATGAGTGCTTGAACTTTTGCAAAGACTAGTAGGTAGATCTTTAGGATACCTTTGTAGCTCGCTCCCTTCTCCATTGCTAATTTCCTCCTCTTTATTTTTTAAAGTATGTAAGGGATAGTCCTTTGGATGTTTCTCCTCTTCCTGTGTCACATGTATGCTGCATTAAAATTTCTCAAAAATATGGAGGTTAGTAGATTTAGTAAATTTAAATATCTTTTTTTTCCTCACCTACTTTGAATGTTAATTCTCCCTTAGGCACGATAATTAAGGCACCTCCAGTGGTTAAAAATGGTCTTCCTAATATAAGTGTGACATTTCAATTATCAATGTCTAAAATAATAAAATTTACAAGAATATAAGTTTACCAACTTTCACTATGACATCCTCAACTACATCATATAGATATCTAAGTGATCTATTTGCAAGTTGAAGAGTCACATTAATCAGCTTAATATCTATTATACCATGTTTCCTGCATAAAGGATAAGGCATTAAGTTAACACTCACACCCAAATCACATAAACAATTTTCAATAATATTAGAACCAATATCACAAGGAATGGTGAAACTCCCTCGATCTTTCAATTGGGTGGTAGCTTTTTTTATAGAATCGCACTGTACTCCTTGATAATATAAGTGTAGCTATGGCATATTCTTCTAACCTTTTCTTGTTTAAAACTAGCTCCTTGATGTATTTGGCATAAGCAAGCATCTTTGCCAATGCCTCTATAAAGGGAATATTAATTTGAATGATCTTGAACATCCTACGGAATTTTTGAAAGCTTAAATTTGGATCTTTTTCTCGAAGGCACTCAGGGTATGGAATGAGGGGTATATAAGGTTTAGCTTTAGAAGGAGAATGGACACTCCAAGTTGCACTATTAACCTTAGGCACCTCAATTACCTGATCATCTTTTTCATTTTTCTGTTCACTTACCGTTTTAATATATGTTTAGCCCCACTATTAACCTCTTAGAGTTCTTTATCGTTCTATAAGGTAACTATCATGACTTCCTCTCATGGATTGACTTCAGTATTGCTTGAAAGTTTATTTTGACTCTTTTCAGTAATTAAGCTAGCCAAATTACTTATTTGAGTCTCCATATTTCTTAAAGAATTACCCATTTGAGATTTCATATTATTCATAAGAGCTTGAGTTGAAACAACTGCTTGTTTTAGTTGGTCAATTTCTTGATTAATGCTCTTCATACTGTTCACTTGGTTAGTTACCATTTGAGCCAAAGATTCCTCTAACTTTATTGTATGATCCTCAATTGTGTTTCTTTATTGTTGGAAGCCTACCTGTGCTTGTGGCCCTTGGGTAGAGAAATTTTTCCAAGAGAAATTTGGATGATTTCTCCATTCAGGGTTATATGTGTTGGAGTGTGAGTCATTCCTAGAATTAACTGGATTAGTACCAGCTCCTATATAATTGGCCTCTTCCACATAGTCACTATCATAACTTGCATAAAGAGAATTATTAGTAGAAGAGAGGAAATTAACAAAACTAAAATTTTTCAATAATAAATTTAAACTATTAGTTAAATACCATAGTTCAATAATGTAGAAACTTCATTAGCCATCACCCTCTTTCCTCAAATTGCCTTTTGCCTTGAATTTATTGCCAGCATTCTTCAGCAATCATATTACATGGATCATTTCGAGCTGCATTATCAACTTTTAATTGGCATTCAAAATTGTGCCCATCATAAAAAAAAAATCCATCAAAAGTATATGAAAATTGGTGATGGGGATATTGGCTTATAAGAAGATTATAACGTTCCCAAGCTTCATTAAACAATTTACCATGTTGCAATCAAAAAGTGGATCTTGTCCCTTAATTTTGAAATTTTTTTTAGAAGAATAATATTTCAATATGAATTGCTCATACATCTTTATCTAAGAGCTTATAAAAACTTTTGGTAAGCATAAAAGCCATTGACAAGCTTCTCGCATTAAATAGTAAGGAAAGCAACGCAGCATTATATTGTCATCCAATAGATTTTTAGCAGTAGTGTATCAATTACCTCATAAAATTCTTGTATAAAATCCAAAGCATCTTTAGCTTGATGCCTATTGAAATTAGGTAGAGCATTTAAGTGAATGTTTTTAAATTCATAATTATGCACTCTAGTACTCATTTGGATGCATGATGAATTAGATGTGATGAATGGGCGTTGAATATCTCTAAATATAATAGGTGACTATGGAATAGCTTTGTCACCCATCCTTTTTCTTATTTAGGATTTATTTTTCCCACAAAACTGTTCAATTTCTAGATTAATAGGAATAAAATTTAAGTCACCAGAACTTCACAATGGCATAAAAATAATAAATAAATAAATAAAAATAAATATAAAAAAATTTAACTAAAAATTAAGTAGTTAGTAAATTTTGTAACTTCCACAGCAATGATGCCAAAAACTTAATAGCTCTCGTAAGTGTATGAGATCACAGTAATAAATTACCCAAAGTATTTTAGGTGTCGAACGCATGGAAGTTATGCTTTTACTAATTTAAATAATTAATAATTAAAAAATAGATAAAATGGATAATTTGATGAAAATATAAATAATAAAAATAAATCAAGAAAACAATGATGATGAAAACACAAGCACTTAAAGCAGTGGGGTTTAAGATTCACCCTATAGGTTGCTAGTTTCTATCCTTTGGGTTGATTTTGATTAATTATAGTAACAACTATTTCAAAAGTGTCCAAACATTCTCTCAAATTATTAGTCCCTTTTTAATTAATGTTAAATTCATTCCCACAATACCCAAACAACTAATTAAACCATGAAGCTATAGTTTAAGTCACCACAAATTTCTAGAACTATCCCAAGCCTAGTTATTTTTGTTTATTTCTCTATATTTAGGTTCTCTCTTCACCTTATAATCCATCAAGATTACCCATAGAGTTGATTAAATGGTGGCCAGTCATAAAATCAATAAGAAGAACAAGAAAAATAAATATAATTAGAAAAAATAAAAATATTCACAAATATAAATTCAAAGAGTCAAAACAAAGAAAGTAGAAAACTAGCTCCCCAGTTAAACTACATGTTGAAAATTGTGCCCTAGGGCCAATCATTGTACAGTAAACATTAATAAATTTTTCTTTTGTTATCATATTAATTACATGTTCACTATGATAAATGTATCATTGGACAAACTATAGTGATTGTCCTAAATGTCCCTGGTTAGTCATCTATAAGAAATCATAAATGAAACAAGACTAGTATGATTTTAATGAATTATAGAAATATAAATTAAAGTCATAGACACTTGAAAAAGTACAAGGTGCTGGACTGACCAGTTATGAGGAAGTTGCATGATACAAGTCATAAACTTATCTCATATGTAACCATATCATTAAGCCCTTTGACCTGAGATCATTATGGAGTTTTACATGATGACCACTGAACTTTGACTTAGTCAAAAGTCGCCTTTAATCAGGTGATCATAAAGGCTATGATTGAGTTTAGTAATATTTATGCAGAGGAATATGATTTTTCAAAATGGAATTTTTTCTTCACATTAATTGAGAGATATTACTAGGTCCCTCGATGAGTAAAACTAAGAAAATATATGACCATACTATAATGAAAATAATTTTTACCATTGTTATAATCAGTCCACTCAAAAATCGAGAAAGTAATGGTTAAGTAAAAGAGAATGACAATTTTATCTCTCACACTTAGCTAAAATATCATGTGACAAAAGTGATGTGATACAGTTATATGATAGGTTACATCAGATTATCAATCCCCATATAAATTGGATAATTGTAATGTTTGGCTATAAGCCACTTGTGACTTGTGGGCTAGTAGTATAATTAGCCTATTACGAACTTTATGTGGACCTACAGGGTCGCACACAAGAATAGCCCAACTTGACCTACAATGTTCAAGTTTATTGAATCTATAAGGTGTCTAAATTCAATGAATGTAATGCTTTATCTAGGGTGAATGAATTATATATATATATATATATATATGAATATTTATTTGATAAATATTTATATGAAATATAAAATTCAAAATATAATTATATATATATATATTTGAAATATATATATTTGTGTGTATGTGTGTGTGTATATCCGATATATGTATGTATATGATATATGAAATTAAATATATATAATATAATATATATATATATATTTTAGAAATATAAGTGTGTGTGTATATATAATATGTATACGCAATATATATATATATATTACACTGTATTATATTATATTATATTATATTATATTATATATTATGTTAGTTTTAAATTTAATTTTATATGATAAATTAAATTTAATAACTAATATGATTTGGGAGAATATCATATCAGTTTTATAATTTAAATTTATAAGATAAAATTATATTAGATATAATATTATGGATTTTATTTATGAGGTAAATTTAATCTACTTTTCCTGTTGGTTCATTAAAGAAGACAAAAATCCAAATCTATATATATGATAGAGGAGGGGCCGTGCTCATTAGAGAGAGTTAGAGAAGTCTTGATGGCAAAACACATTGAAAGCCACAGAAATACCCTAGAGAAGAGTAGTTCAATGTTTAAGAAAATGGACAAACGTTTTGAGTGCTAGCACATCGTTTGAGGTAAAAGCTGTTCGTTTGGATATTGCTAGCAGATTTACGTTGTTAGCTTTTAAGATTCAATTACTTGAAGGCAACACATGAGGATGTCGGAATTAAAATGTGATTCTTCTATGCATTTTTCAGGTATTCTTTTGTGAAAACATTGTTTAAGGACATGTTTATGCATACATTGACGACAGTGCACGATTTAAGTGTGGGGGGAGACAAAAATATTTGATTCTTGCTTTTTTAAAAAAATTGGAAAATTATAAAAAAAATTATTTTGTTTTGTCTTGGGTTATATGAGAAACTTGTTTTGAATATTTTTTAAAACTTAAACTCTTGAAATGATGTTGCCTTAGTTGTTTTGTAACATCCTTCTATATCCACTCAATACAGGAGAAGATTATAGGAATTACCATACCAACACATCAATTATAATAATCAAATCCCATTTGAAAAGCTTTGGGCAAAGACTTATTTTGTAAAACTATTCAAAATCATACCATATCAAAGAATACAAAGCGAAAGTAATTCACACATTTATTTATACTTAGTGGACACAAAACATGAGCATTCCCATCTCAATTGTATGCATTTTCATCATAAAATAAAGTTAGGATTTGGTCTATGTGCTACAGCCTGTGGCACAAAGCCACACACTTAGCCTGTCTTATGTCATACGCCATGGCATGTGTCACCATGCACTGCGGCGTGCTTATTTGAATTTATGCTATCATTTTGATAGCAAAAATATCAAACTTCTGATGCATGCCGTTTCCACATACAATATCCGATTAGAGTGATTCAAGCACTCACATGAAGCTTAGTTCATAAGCTAACTAATGAGATAGGTATGAACACAATATAATAATTCGATCAAAATTTGAATATCTAAATGCAAAAAATCACTTTTTTCAAACAATTTACACACCCAAGCGCTCAAATTGATCCCTTTCTCTCATTAGATCACACAAGGCCTTGAATCAAATCCAAAAGGACCTAATATACCTGATTGACTATAATTTATCTCAATCACATACATATATTAAAATGTGACCCTTCTATGATCAATTTCCACATTTCACAATTTTGCATAAAATGCCATTTCTTGACATAACATAGGCCACTTAGCCTTTTTCTCATCATAAACACATACATTAACCTTCACAATACAATCTTAGCCTCAAATTACTTATTTCGTCATAATTTCTCACTTGAGCTTAAGATTCACCAACAATCAACAATAATTTTACATAAATATAATCAAATCATAGCCCCTAATTCATTTCATCACAAATATCCACAATCAGGCTATAATTTTGCCAATCCACTACTCAAAACATGCATGCAATCCTATGGTAACTTATTTACACATATATACACAAAGTTTTTAGTTCAGTTCATTACACAACTCTGAGTATACACGGCTTCAAAAACTCAAGCCGGTCCTGAATTTCTTCCCTTGCCTAGAGTATTGCTCGATCCCATAAACATGTAACCATGGGGGTGAGATAAAAATCTCAATAACAGAATAACTCACTCTTATTAACTATCACATGCAATAATATGGAAACAAAGCATATTATATCATTTAAATCTCATTAAAATAGCATTTATATCACATATCTCATTTTTATTCATATTCATATAACATATATTCATTCCCTCCTTTTCACCACTTTCACATATCCTTCCATAACATCTCATAGCATCATAGCATGATGATCACTATCAACCGAACCTCCAAATCACCACGACACGAAACCATAAGCTCGCCTTAGACTAATGTACACTCTCATAAGCCGTGAGCTTACCTGCAGTGGTAAAATCACCTGGCCAAAGATGTTCTAATGCATATATGAACTATGGTTTTCCCTAATATACACAATGGAGTGTTGTTGACTCCAATACCGTATCACACAAACACTAACGAGTCTCACATCTCCAACACCACACCTCAATAGGCACTAAGGAGATCTTCTCCAACACCACACCTCAATAAGCACTAAGGAGAGTTATTTCCAATACTGCACCCTCTTGGGTATTAAGGAAACCCTGCCATATGATCTTTATCACCACCTACACTCGGGTAAACTCTCATCCTTATGATCATACTTTCCAAACCATTCAAGGTTTTCATTTACCATTGTATATAATTTCTTACACATAACACATACAATTAATACATTTCATTTGGAATCATACATTTCAATGCTTTATTTCAATCAAAAGTCATTTCACAC